CCTCCCCCCTCCCCTTTCACCACACTGGACTTACCAGCTGGAGGCAGCTCTCCATACTGCCAGCTCTGTTCTTCATTGCCTGAGTGCTGTACCGCAGTGGTGTGCAGCACAGGCATTTATAGGACAAATTATTGGCCCTATTGGGCCGATTTCCAATGCAGCCAGTTTTCTTTATATTGGTACCAATCCGATATTGCACCAATGTATCAGTGCACCTCTAACTCAAATAGATTGTTTTCCAGCCCTGAAACTTGCTATGGTTGACTTGATTGGTAGATGGCTGTTAGTTTCCCATGTCATAGCATTATCTTCCTCTTCAGCAGTTAGGCATTTCATCTGAGACTTTGGCCCTGAGGATATTGGCAATAAGGAAAATAAAGTGGAGTAAGCACCTGATATATCTGCTTCTTTAGTGTCTACAATTTAACTCAATTGAGAGATCGCTTTCTCTTGAAGTTCTATCAAAGTTTCAACAGGTTCTACGGTACAGCAGCAGTTTGTTCAACACTATGGAAATAGATTTCAGCATGTTTGGCTTATTGTTTTATATTTCTCTTTAGCCAAATGTTGATCACTTTAACTTTGATTATTCAGTGCATTTTTCACTATTTTGTTCACAAACTAAAGACATGCTGAAAAAAGAGGTCGAAAGAGTCAATCACTGGATTCCCTAATACATCATAGGGGAGATACTCTCCTCAGTGAAGTGAAGGCAAAGGAGTTGTTACAAAACTATTTTGCAATTTCAGCAACACATTACTTTTTTTCCTGGAGTACTAAAATAATTGCCTAAAAGTTGCATCAAATGAACATTGCAACCATATTTTATAAGTTTCCAGGTTTCCTTCATTATCTTCTAGATTTCTTCCCATGTTTGCTACATTTGCAGCATTGACTATGACAAAGTTGTTCACTTGACATTTGAATATGTGTTTAGTCTGTATGGAATGTACTGCTACCACATTTAAGTGTTCTGTTGTCTGAGTGTTTCCTAATGTATTGGTTGTTTCTATAAAATATACAATCCCATCTTCTGCTGTCATACAAATGCATATTGGTTCATTGTAGATGTTGCTCCACCCATCAAGACTCAGATTAATGAATTTTGCATTAATGTTTTTTGTGTGCTGCTCAGTTTCCTTCCCAAACACTGCATCTGGCATCCTCTCGTGCCGTATTTTTAAAGTTTGACCTCAAAAACTAGATGTCGCCTGTTCTGGAAAAGCATGCAACCTGCGACTTGGTGTTTTTGATGGAAACTCATGGATACTTTGTTTTAATTCTTTTATTTTAATATTTTCAAAGATTATAATCAGTTTAGTACTTAACTATTATGTATTGGGTTTAGATTTTGTTTTAAACAGGTTTATTTATAATAACAAAGACATAAATCATAATAATTTAATATTTTTAAATCCTATTTATACCAAAAAACATTATTTCACTAAAATTTCTGATTTACTTTATTTTATTTTTTTAAAAAATAAGGTTTTAGCAATCCTGATGTCCATTCCAAGGGATTCTTTGGCAAGTTGCGTATCAAATGTGCAGTTCTTCACTTGGGTATTAATTTCTAAAATCCACATTTATTCAGTCACCTAGGTGCCTGATTGTTTTAAATTAGATAAAAAAAAGGTAAGGAACAGGCGTGTATACAATATACTTTTTGCATGAAATAAATGTATCTGCCTAGATCTGGGGCGAGATGGAAGATGGTAGTACCTGCTAGGCATTTTTTGAAGGAAATTCAGAATGTGGTTTTGAGATTACCCAATCAGAGCATGTTTCAGTTCACCAACTGGTTAGCAACTTGGCTGTGCTTCACTATACTTAAACATATCGCAGAATCTGAAATTGCAGATTAAGCTCTGTTCAGCTGAGACAAAATAAAAATGCTTTAGTCAGTGGGAATGTAATGAAAAGGAATAATAATGCCCCGTGACTAATTACTTTTTCTAAATTAAAAAGTTAATGAGGAGGAAAATATTGCCAATTATTGGGTATTTTGTTCCCTTCTCCGCTTTGTACATAATAAGGCAAAGAGTCTGCGGATCAGTTTTTATTTTAAATCTCTCCTGTGTATAAGAGCTTGTAGAAGTGAAGCTAATCTCCACAAGATTCTTGACTATAGAGCTTCCAGGCTATCACCCATATATGCATAATCAGTTCTGTTCTCTGGGCAGGATTGGTGCATTTCAAACAAGTCCTGTGCATTTTAAACAGCCTTGCAGAAGAAAAGCTGTCTTTCGAATTTGTTTGTAGAAGTGCTGCCTCGATGTGCTTCATAGCATACGATTGAGTTAATGTGTTGCATAGTCATTTATGCTTTCACACCTGAAAGTAAAGGGCGCCTTTTAGATCAAGATTTGCCAACTTTTAAAATTACTAGTGCCAAAAGTTTATGAAGTGCATTATAGCTTATAGGCATCTTAGAAGTCTGATCCTCTTTATTCCAGCACTCTGTGGCAAAGCTTACTGGCAAGGCTGGAGACTTTTCGAGTATTGCAATTGATCTATTTTGCAAGGCAGAAATTGGGAGGGGAGGGAGGGAGGAGATAGGGATTAGTTGCTTTTTTTTTTCTTGAATAGTTTATTCTGAATCAAGAATTTCTGTGGGGTTTACACTAAGATCATGTAAATACAGTTCTGTTTGTAAAAGTGACCTCAGGAGAAATATTGCACCTAAAGTCTTCGAAGTGGACCTCCAGTTTTGGCTTCAATTGCTTTAGCAACTAGGGGTGCTTGTAGACACAGAAAAAATGGTGCTTTACTTTAAACTTGGTGCATCCCCACGCTGAACCCCATGCATGCCCAGAAGAGGCAGCATGTTACTTTAACCCGGCTCACCTGATGTCTGTAAAATTGGGCACTTTAATGGAGCTTTTTTGGCACTTATCTAATAACTGATTGCATCAGCTATTCGATAAAAGCACCTAAAAGCCCTGCTGAAGTGCCTAATCTTTACAGATGCTACAGAGTTGGGTTGAAGAAACACACTGCTGCCTCTGGTAAAGTTTTTAAATGTCTGCACACAGCCTAGAGGTCACATTTCCAAAAACTAGTCATAAGAAGCTGGGAAAAATTACTGAAAAATCTTTTAACAGATCAGATACCAGGAATTTTCTCTCAAAGGAGAACTGGGGAGGGGAAAAGAGGAGTGAAAAGAAGCATAAGTGAATTTATCAAAGAAACAGAAATTGCAATAGAGCTTCCACATTGTACTTTTCAAGTCCCTATCAATATGTTATCACCAGGCAAAATCTGCGGCTGATGCAAGAAGCCAGTGAAGATGGTAGACTGAATGGGAAACTCCAGGAAATAAAAAAGATCTTGAAGCAAGAGAAGACTTTTCATAAGGACTCAAGGGGCGGTTTGATTCATTCCTCTGCAGAAACACCTATGTTTCATTGTCAGTCCTGGAATAAGGAGAGCATGAGTGATCAGTGCGACTCCACAAATGGTTCAATTGTAGCAGGTTCCACTTCACAGCCTTCTGAGTACCCAAAGCACATTGGGAGAGTGACACTGCAGCTGCATTGGGTACAAGTCTCCTGGTCTAGTGCTGGAGTCCCTTATCTGTGGCAGTGCCTCTCCCTCCCACATACAGACACAAATTGGCCTACATTTGTGTATTTAAAACTGAGGTGGTGGCCACTTGTTGGCTTTCTTAGATTTAAATTTCAGTTAGCTAAGATGTTTTGAGGAAAATGGAAAGCTTTCTCTGGGGTTTAAGTAGCATCATGGAGACTTTACAACAGAAGGAATTCCTTTGTGTTATACTTGTGTATTCACTCCTCTGCAACTCTCTCATTCCCATTTCTGTATCCTTGTGTTAGTCTTATTTAAATCTGTGTAGGGTTGGCTTGCCCACTTTTTGTTTTTTCACTGTTCAATGTGTGTGTTGCAGACACATTTTAGATTGTAATCAGATTACTCTGTTTCCCCATGTATGTTCCATAATATATGAGTGGACTAAGAGTGTTTACTGGCATTGTGGAGATGGTTTTTCCAGGAGAAAAAGAAAGCATGTGTTCTTCCACCCCGGTTGCAAGACTTCTCCATCTGGAGAGCATGCAGAAGATGCTTCTAAATCAGGGGTGGGGAAAATGCGGCCCGCCAGGCCATTCTATCCGGCCCGTGGGGCTCCTAAAAAAATTTAGAAAATGAATATTTATCTGCCCTGGGCTGCCTGTCATGCAGCCCTCGATGGCTTGCCAAAACTCAGTAAGCAGCCCTCTGCCCAAAATAATTGTCCGCCCCTGTTCTAAATGCACTTCCTGAAGGCTGCTGCCCAGACAAGAGCATCTTTGCTGAGAGACAAATGGAAAGAGTACTCAAGAAGGTTGTATATTTATTTTGCTGCATAATTTTAGGTATCTTGATACCCTGCCAGGTTGGTACCCTGCCAGGTTCAGTGTATCACTGAACCAGTAAGAAACCCTCTTGACATGGAGCACCGCTCACACTACAAGTACTATTCTTCCTTCTACTGGAACCTTGAACTTCATGGTGCGGATGACTTCAGGTCTTTTCCATAGAAGATCATGGCCCTCTTTCTTCTTTCCTGCTCTTACTTTCTTAGGATTTCCAAGAAGTACTATATGACAATAAAGCTGACTAGAAAAGTTTATTTGCTTGCTATTTACACACGCGCACACGCACGCACACACGCGCACACACACACCTGTAGGCAGTTACTGCAAATATAGTAGGTATAACATTTTCCTCTTGGATGCACCAGATGGAAAGTATCAAAAATATAATTAGATTTATTATTAATTATACTTTCAGTGCTTTCTATTTGGTACATTAAAGAGGAAAATTCTATACCTGCTATAGCTGCAGTTACTAGAATTTAAAGAAATTAGAGGTAGGGTGCTCTCTTGTTTAAGGTGCTTACCTAGGACTTTGGAAAGTAAGGTTCAGTGCCATGCTGTCACAGTCTTTTTTGGTGACCTTGGGTAAGTCTCTTAGCCTGCCTGTGTCTCAGCTTCCCATCTATAAATTGGGGATAATAGCACTTCCCTGCCTCATCAGGCTGGCCTAAGGATAAATATGTTGAAGATAGGGGTACACAACAGTGATAAAGGAAATACAAGTTCCTAAGACAGAGGGCCTTATTTTCCAGCTTGTGGGCATTATGTATTTGTGGCCCATCTGTTTCAGGGGTAGGCAACACCCGGCATGGGTGCCAGAGTGTGGCACTTGAAGGCATTTTGCTTGGCACGCGTGACTCCGGGTGGTTGGCGGGGAAGGGACCGGGGCTACACAGCAACAGCAAGGATTGGGCCCCTCATGGATCTCCTGCCATCTGCCTCTGGCACACCAACATCTTACAAGTTGAAGCTGTGGGTGTTTTGGCACTCTGACCAAAAATGTTGCTGACCGGTGGTTGGTTGAACTGCTTTGTTGGTTGTCAGTTTTACTTTCCAGTAGTGTTTTTACTGACTGTCCTGTGCAGAACTTGAACGTGAACCTTTCTATTAAGTTCTGTAAGAGACGTTTCTAAGCAAGGCTTGTGCAGCTGAAATCAAAAAAGCAGCAAACAGATCCAGTAGAGGAGAGAGTAAGCATAAATATAGTATTGCCATCCCAAGCCTACAAAGAATGTGTGGCAAGATATGAGATTTTTAAATGGATTTATAGGTCGCCTTCTGTCATCAGGCTTTGGAAAGTTTATAGTTCGTAATTCCAAGTTTTTCTTTGCAGCCATAAAAACTAGAAACTTGCCTTTTTAATGAAAGCAGAAATTCTCTTACAATCATTTGACTTAAAGATCCAGCTCTTGTGAGACATCACTTTCTTTTAAAAATAATTGATCAGATTTAAAAAATGTGTAGTTGACACTATATAAATTGTATATGAACTCACACACATGGCAATGAGATTCATGCTGGTAAATTTTTGTATACCTCAGAAATTGTACCAGTGTCCATTCCTGATAATGCTGCTAGTAAATTCCAAGCACACGCAAATGTACATTGTCATCATCTTCATCTCAGGCTCTGAAGCCTTTTATACATGGGAAGGCTTAAACTGCTAAAGACAATTGCAGATTCAGAGCACAGTGTGCCTGACCTTTGGAAGTGTTATTAGACATCTATAACAGAGCAGTCTTCCTACGTAAGAGTGCAAATACAGTCCTGAGTGCCCAATAGGAGCCTTTTTGTTGTACTGATAATTAAGCAAATACAGTTATAACTTTAATATTTGAAAAAAATAGGTAAATTGTTTGTCTCAGCTCATTTTGTAAATGCTTTTAATTTGTGACTCTTGGTTGGATCCCAAAGGTCCTAGGTTTAAAAGGACTTTAATGCTGTTGAATTACAGAGCGCTGAGATCATGGCTTTAACGAAAGCCATGGTGCACAGTATTGAGGTTTTTCTCTTTTTTCAGTTGTTTTCATTCACTTTTTGCTGCAGACACTACTTGAGTCTATGGTGGATGCAGCTGAAAACCTTTGCCCAAATGTGATGAAAAAAACCAACATACGGCAAGACCTAATTGAAGCTAGCACTGAGAAGATTTCTATCCCTCGTACCTTTGTGAAAAACGTCCTCTTGGAACAGTCTGGAATTGACATCCTCAACAAAATTAGGTGTGTTAAAAGGACTTTTTAGAAGTGTGGCTAAAGAGTCTGGTGGTGCATTGCATTTATGTATGGCATGACTGTTTCTATGTCTATTGGTGTGTTTTCTGAATGTTTCCATAAATCACAAGACAGCATACAAAGTTCTACGGAGAGCATTGAGGCATCATAGAGGCCCAATGAAATGCAGATATTTAGATTCTACAGTAATCTTAACCTGCAGGTGTAGGTCTGTATTATATATACAATATTTGCTACTCCGATATTTCTGTGTATAGCTTTAAGGGACACAAATGAAAAATCATGTGTCTTTCAAAAATTTTACTGTTTTTGTTTACCTAACACATAAAATTTCTGCAACAGGAAAACAAATACTTGCATCTATTTTTCTATGTTGATTGTTTTGTGCGTTTGGTAGGACTTTCTACATTGTTGTTTAGCATTGGACTTTTCTTTAGTAAGTGTATGCCAGAAAATATTCAAGATACACAGTATGGTTGAGCTCATATTGCTGTCATTGGCTGTGGGCAGTTTTCTCCTAGGCTGGGTTGACAGCAAAAGCACATCATTTTATATTTTGATAATTGTATGTTTGCAATGAGAGAAAAATAGAAACTTAATTTTAAAACCCTACAATTTAGAATTGAGTATGTACAGTGGAGCAAAATTACCATAGATACGATATGGTTTGGTTTTTTTTCTAAAGATTAAATTACATTTTTCATTTTCCTATCCTCTTTTTCCCTTAAAAAAAAGAAACTTTGTCTTGAGACCAAACATGGAAAGTCTCAAAGAAAAAGTAGAAAAAGTTATGAGCAATTGAAAATGTTAACTAGGTAAGAGGTGGCCTACAAAACACTGTCTTGAAGTCTTAGTCACATCTTTCATGACAATGAAAGCCATAGAACTCCTCACTTTTTTTAGTTTCTTTTTTGTTAAAAGTTGTAAATACCTGTTTTTCCTTGCACATCAAGCCACATGTTCTTCTACCACATACTATTAAAAATAGTTAAGCTGTGTAATACAAGGAAGTCCTGTCCCTTGGTTCTAGTGACATATGCAACCCAATTCTCTTCTCACAAAAAAAATGTTCATCAGAAACTCTTGATACATGGTAGAGTTTTCCATGTATTTCCATGGAAAAGAGCTACTGATGAAGACGAGCCCAACTTCAACAAATTCTATAGTAAATTCCAGTTCCATAGATTGTATACCTCAGTCCCAAAAGTCTTCACTACAGGGTTGACTCACAACTTAAATGAAGTTCTCTCTATCCCACAAAAGTGTGTGCTCTCTCTTTATATATCTCTGCTTTAATTAGGCTGTAAGGTGCAAATCTACCCTGCCTTCTACTTGACTTCAGACTAACACAGCTATCTATGTTTACCACAGTTTAACTTCTATGTTGCGTCTAACACAGCCTCTCTCCACACAAGCACACCTCTAGTTCAGGGGATGTGATGCTTTAAGTTCAAGCCAAGTGCTGACACTCAAGCTAGTAATGCAGTAGGGATGTAGGTACATGCTGTAGTTCAAGTTAGCATAACTTATCACTTGCTATTCTATTTGCTCTGTGTAGCCTGAATGTTGATTTGCAGTGTGAGTGCTCATACTGCAATGCGGTAGTAATTTGAGGTAACTGTTGCAGTTAAGACAAGCCCAGTTGCGCTGATATCATGTTTCAATCTACCAGTGAGTCTGTAGTCCGCTGTTTCTCTTCACTGCGAAATAAGATACTCGGGGCTAGCTGGAATAAAGCTTTTAAGGTAGGAAAAGTAAATGCTCAAATAATTTGCAGCCAAGGAATGGTAATGGCAGAGATTAAAAATACAGCAACATGCAATCACCCTTGGACTGAAAGGAGGCCACAGAAAGGAGACAAGGAAATGTACACGGGGCATGTCTACACGTGCACTTTAATACACGTTAACCTATTTTAATGAGCATCAAAGCATCACAGAAAACCATGCTCTTTAGCTAATGTACATTACAATAGGCTAATGCACATTTTTCTAGTACTTCACAGTGGAGGTCTAAAACATAATGCACATTACCTAAAGTGTATTAATGAATGTGTAGATGTTCCCAGGGTTGTTCAGCAAAATAAGACTTAAACAATCAAGACAGTCTTAGTGCCCCATCTAGACCAGTTTTGTCTTTTCTAGCATCAGTGTGTGAATTGTTCCTCAATTAATCTGACATATGGTTCTTAGTTAATTCTCGTGACCAGATGTTTTCATTTTAGTTTCTAAAAATGTTAGAAGCAGGTTAAAAATGGCACAGGAGTTCTTATGTTTATAGCCTATCTTTGAAGTGCTCAGTTCTTCTCGCACTTTCTTATGTTTCATTTCAAATACAATAGCTTGATCTTAGATACTCTTTATGCCACAGAAATAACGCAATAAAGACGGCAACATTCTCTGGTGTGATTAAGTTACGCTGCTCTCATCTTCTATTTTCACAGTGAAGTAAAACTGACAGTGGCCTCTTTCCTATCTGATCGAATTGTAGATGAAATCTTGGATGCGCTTTCACATTCCCATCATAAACTGGTAAGTGTTTGCACAATTCTGAGTGTTTTGGTTCATCCTAAGAACACTGTCTTCATGACTTGTTCAGCTCCTCTTCATTACAACTGCGTATCTAAAACAGCTCAGTTTTCATCATTGGATGTATGTGAACTGTTGTCATGGGGTAAATATTCCTCTGATTTAAAAAGAAAACACAGCTACAGAAGAGGCTGCATTACATAGCCCCTTTTTCAAGAATACATAGTCATTAATTAAAACAATTACTGGCTACCTTAGTAAGGCATGAGGCGTTACTTATAAAATAAAGGAGGAAGAGGCTGGACAGACCTTAGTTTCTGACCCAGTGCCTATTTAAGCTACATCAGAAATGTGATTTCAAGGCTTTGGAACACAAGATGGAACCACACAGAAAGCAAATGAACAGTTCTCTGGAAAGACTGCTTCTAAGTGGTTTAGTTGCTTATTGAAGATGTACCTGCTTCGTGAAGATTAAAAAAGCAATTCCAATATGCATCCATAGAACAGCCTACAGGCTCTTATGCTGCAAGTGTCACACAGAGGGGACTGAAGAGGATCGTTATATCAGAACTTGGTTTGATAATGCTAGATTTTAGAAGTATGCAAAAAGACTAGCAACAATAGCTAACAATCATAAATTATGTAATATTATAAATACATAAATCCCAAGATTTTGCAGTATTTTCAGTCTGTTTAAAATATTCCAAGAACATGAACAGCATTGGCAGCATCTTTTTCATGGTTTTGTTATGCTCATCCAAGCTTTACGTCAGGGAAACAGACTATCATTATCTGTGTAGGATAAATTTGCTTTATATTCTTTATGCTGTTGCTACTATAAATGCTTTTCAGCTTTATACTATGTACTACAGTGTAAATACATTTGAAGAAACATATAATGGGTCTACTTAAAACAGTTCCAACTTCAAATTTGATAGTTATTTATCTAGTTTGACCATCTTATCTGAATGCCACTGCTTATTGTGCAAATTAGTTTGGCATGGTACAGCCTCTTGATAGAGAGTTCCCTCAACACATTTTTCAATTTGAGAGTGGTAAAGATGCAACTGATGTACAGGTGGTTGAAATCCTATAAGAAGGTGTATTCAAAAACAGCTGAGGATTTACTACTGAGTCTTCTGAGATTGCAAAGGACTAGTCTAAAAAATGGTTTTCAGTTTTTCAAGTGAACACTTTATGAACAAACATTCAAATGGCCCTAATGGTACTGAGCTCAGTAACATACCTCCGATTCTAAGAATATGTAGAGTTGGTATGCTGTTGCATTTAATTTTACACTTGATCTAGGGCTCTGGTTATTGTAGCTAGCAGATATACAACATGGCACAATTTTTTTACCACTTATCTGCCAGCATTTGGGGCTTTCCTGTCTCTCAGTGCTCCTGTTGCATCCATGTCACAGGCCAGTCAGTATCACATGATGCCAAATAAAACTGCAATCAGGGCCTCAATAACAAATTCCTGGAACCAGCAACTATTCATCTCACTGAAGAAGAGGGTCCAGAGACAGGGTAGGAGCATAAGAGACAGTTGATTGCTTTCCAAATTGCTGCCCCAAGCAGGACTGCCTCCATGACCCCACAGAAGGGCCTGAATCCTACTGCTGCTTTCATTACTACAGACTGTCTGTTCAGAAAGTAACCAGCAATCCAGTGTGCAACAGCTTCGGTCATAGTTTGTGGGCACCTATACACGAGCAGTGAGGCTGCTCTGACGTGCTGTAATTACAGCACGAATTGAGTCTGCTGGAGCGGGATAATTACTGCACTCCAGTAGATTCCCGCATCTCATGTGTCAGTGTCCCTATGCTTAAAAATGGAGGGGGCACTTTAACAGAAGCTCATCAAATGAGCTTTAGTTAAAGGGATTCTGCTGCCATTTTTAAGCATGGGGATGCTGATACATGAGATGCTGTAGGTGCTTTAATCAGATCAGCTTTTAGAGCCGCTCTAATTAAAGCGACCCTCCCCTTCCCCCCCACTCCTGGAGCATGTGTATAAATGCCCCTTAATTCTGAATCAAGAAACTGGAGAAGATATGTAACAAAAACCCTGGGACACCGGACCTGATCCAAAGCCCTGAACCATGAATCTGGAGTATATATCAACCACTAACCTTGATAAAAACACATAGGAGATCCTGATTAACAGCTGGCAAACCCCAGCTAGAAGAACCAGTGAAGGTTGAAAACTGAAGTTTCTAGATCCATAAAAAACATTTTTCCTGGATGTTTTAAAATCTGTTTGTTGACTGAGTCCTACATACCAAGTAATCCACATTGCTTTCTGTTAGTAACTTGTCCTTTTCAGTGTTTACCATTCTGCCAATTTTTTATAATCCATGAATTCTGTCAGCAATGATTTTATGTTTGCTTCCAAATCTTTGAGGATGTAAAGCATCTTGGTAGATTTCCAGTAGAAAAATCCATTTTAGTGATTGTTCGCCTTGACAATGTACTTAGATCTTTCAGTCATCCGGTTCTTTATCTGTTAAATAGGTACTATGTTGATATTGTAGCATACTAATTTGTAATCAGTGTCAGGCAGTACTAAGTCAAACCCTTCACAGAAGTCTACATATGTTATATTTGCACAATTACTTTCATCAGCTTAATGTGTGATCTCATCAAACAAATATGATTTCATTGTTTGACAAGACCAATTTTGCATAAAAATTGTGGATTGCCATTAATTGTATTCCAGTCCTTTTATTCTTTATGAATTGATTTTTATATCAGCTGTTTCACTGTTTTGCCTGGACTGTTACTTGGTTAACTGGCCATTAACATATCTAAGTCACACTGCTTGCCTTCCTTGACTGTTAGTTCAGTGCCAATACTTTGCCAGTTTTCTGGAATTTCCCAAGAGTTATTAAAAATTCACAGCATCCTCTGTAAACCAACTCTTTTTGGACTCTTGTTTATTACTTATCTGGGCAGTTTTTAAACTGCTTATCTGCAGTAGATGATATATAATGGGCTTCTTAGTGACTTATCCTAAAGCAGATGATATAGAACAGGCTTTTTAGTAACTAAAGGATTAGAAATGGTACCTGTTTTGTCTCTAGATGTCTATAAAGTGATTTACACTGTATTTTTATTTTTAATTGCCCTCTTCAATTCTTTGCTGAAGTCAAGTGGCCACTTAACAAAAAATGTATTTTTCTTCAGTTTTGGAATCATAAATTTTTGGCCATTTAATAAGCATACTTTATTTCTGTGTGCCCACCATCTGGTGTTCAAGGCAGGAAGGGAGGGTCATTCTGTAGAAGATTTTAGCATTGATGTACATAGTTTATCTTCCCTACTGCTCACCTATAAAGGGAGATTTGTAATAATCACAATGCACAACTTCTCTCTCCCTTTCTCATTTTCTAATCACTAGTTTCATCCCGTTATTCCTTTCCCTAGGCTGACCATTTGACAAGACGTGGGAAACCACTTCCACATCAGGAGTCACTAGAGATTGAATTAGCTGAAGAGAAACCAAGTAAACGCTCCATCATCACAGTTGAGGATCTGACTGAAATAGAACGTTTGGAGGATCTAGACACTTGTATGGTAAGACACTTTTTTTCTCAGAAAAGAATTAAAAATCACAGGTCCTTTTCAAAATTTCAGTGGGCATTTTCCATTACATCAGGTGATGTACAATTAGGAATTTGGTTCATTAGAAATAAATAGTTGTAGTATATGAAAATTTTGGTAAAGTTAGGTATTGCAAGCAAATGGAAGGAAAAGCCCTCATTTTCCTTGACTGATTATCCCCCTTTTTGCTGCCAATTCAAGAGAACTTCCCTGATACACATTGCCACAATGCTTTCATAACAACAGGTACTCTTTTGCTGAGCTACTGGCATATGGAGCTGTGATTGTAGCAATAAACCAAATTATGCTGTTTTCTACCTCTGTCATCATTCCACATGCCATTGATCCATCAGGCTAAATGATGCTCTTTTTATAACTTAGAAGTTATATTGGTGACCATAGTGCAGCTGATTTTTATAGCGGTAAAGTCTTAAACTCTTGCATTTGGGGTCTGAAAAGTGTGGAACTAAACTACTGGTAAGACAGGGTGATTCATTTTAGTGGTTTTGAAAAAATCCCACCTGGCATTTTTACTGGATCTTTAATAAATAGTAGGCTAAACTGGTGGTGCCCAACCTTTTTGACCCATGGGCCAGATGAGCTATGACAGGCCCTTCCGCAGGCCAGTTCCAGTTGATGGGCTCTATCAGGCATATGGTGCTGGCTCAGCTGGGGCCTGATACAGCCACGCAGTAATGGCCCAGCTGGGTCCTGATCCTGAGTGGCTGCATCATGCCCCAGCTGAGCTATTGTTGTGCAGCTAGGTCTGACTGTGACTCAGTCCTTCTTCATGAGAGCAGGGCCTGATCTCCCTGCACAATCCACTTGCATGGGGCTTAGAAATTCAGTGGTGGGGGGGGGGGGGGGGGTGGTTGCCAACGTCCCCCCACTGCCACATTTCCAGACCCGTGGGGAAACCCATGGACTGGATTTTATGGCTCTATGGGCTGGGGGTTGAGCATCTCTGAGCTAAATTAGAGCTCTTCTTTTCCAATTCTTTATGAACATTTTACACCCTAATCTCTGGAAGAACTCCACTGCAGAGGGAACACCAGTTGGAAATGAAATAGTTATTGGAGGCTTTCCCTTCAAGCCTCTCAACTGACTAGGGTTTGCTTCAGTAGTGTGTCTGAACATCAAAGAATCCCGTTTTCCTCCCTTTGGGTCATAAGATATTCCAAGAGTGATCAAAGACTTGTTATCAATGCTGTCAAGTTTTGGAAGGTTTCTGCAACTGCAGTCAGTAGTCAGGCTGTCTTCAGCGATTTCTTTCAGCAGGTGATGCTCTGAAGAAGAGCCATCACAAAAAAAGATGCAGCTTATCACAACCTAGGTTACGCCTGTAGGTGAATTTAAACAGACCACATCCATGTATAGAAATATGACAATCAAAATTTCCTGTCTTATAATCATGTTTTCAGTATAAAAATGCACTCAAGTTTTTTAAAGGAAAGATCTTTTTCACTTCATATTCATACAAAAGGGACCATACTATTGAAAGTTATTTTGCCTTTCCTCACCAACTCATGACGATATAAACTGTGTTTAAGCTATGTAGAAGTCGCACAGTATATGTTTCCTGTACCTTTTCTAGAACAGCACTTTTGAAGGACATGTAGTACCAGTATCTCCTTTCCTTCTTGTGTATGCACAACTTAATCAGAGAAATGAACCTGTTTCTGGCTCTGACTCTTGTTGGCATTTGCTTTCTAGAAGGAATAAAATTGTTGGGAATGAAACAGATAGGTATATTGCATAGAAGAGCTCATGGTGCTCAAAACTCCATTTTCTTTTTAAAAAATCGTTTATTCATTTTAACTATGCATTCTGGAAATAAAATATGTACTTTACTAGTTGATTTTGCAGGCCAAATGCTCTTGGATGCTGTTTGCAGTTGTACAGTAAGGGGCCCTGGGGGACAACCATAATAATATAGCAATGCCAGCTTGTCACAGTTCTGGGGGTCTTTATTATTATTGTTATTGTTTTTATTGTTGTTACTATGATTACTACTACTACGTATCCTAAAAAGAGATTTACCGTGCTAACACTTCCCAGAAGACCTTATAACAGATATTTCTAGGTAGGTCTATTTTAGTTGTGTAAATTCCATTAACATTTCAGATTAATCCTGAGAAAGCTTAGATAGGGAATTCAGGTGCTGAAAAGCTCCATTATATTGCAGTTTTATAGCTTTCACAGAACAATTTAAGCTGAGATTAGAAGAACTCAACCTGTGGGAACTTTGTTATGAGCATCTGAAAATTTGCTTAACCCCCCTTACTCCTGAAATGTCTTTTATAAAGATCATTGACCTGTTTGTCTACTATAAAGGTAGGCAGCTCTCAACATGTATTTATTAGAAAAGTCAGAGAGACTAGAGCTTTGTCAGTGCTTTGGGGTTTGATGTTCAGCCTGTTCAAGAACCTTTAGCCTTGTTTTTGAAACGTGTTGAACATGTGGCAAAGCTGTTCATGCAGCTGTGAGACTGGGAACTCTCATCCTTGGGGTGAACTGTTTGTGATATGTTCATTCATATACAAATAGTGCTGGTGAGTGGGTGGATCCAGGAGATGTGTCCACCAGTAGAGGTCCAGAAAACAGAGCTGTCTTCTGTTTCCAAACTTTCTGCATCAGGTTACAGACCTGAAGGGCATGCCAGATTTATCCTTTTAAAATAACTTAAAATAGACATTTGAGTGTTATTTTAAACTCAAAAAAGTTAGGAAAAATAAAGAAGTAGGAAGCTTTTAACACCATACAATAACAATGCAACAGAAGTTAATAAAAGTCAATTCTCAGCCAACATCTAAGTGTTCGGCACATTAGGATTTGCCAGTGTTTTAAATGAGTTCTCAAGAGCACTGAGAATGATTGACTGGTCCATCGTAGAATGTGATAGCTTGAATATTATTGACCTGGGAGCTTCTGATCTCCCTGAGCTGCAATAGAGTAAATTGATACAACCCTAATCTACAACTATTCTAGCTGCCTAAATTTAATTACAGTTGTATTTATCTAATGACTTATTCTAATCAAAATTGTATGTAAATAAGATTTAACATGACAGCGTGGTTGTTTTTATGTATAAAGCCACTTGTTCCCAGATCAAAGCAGTAAGCACAGGATACTTTTGAAAGTTTTAACTCCTTCATAAATGCCAAATGAATTTAATAAAATGTTTTGGTTTTTTTTAATTTTCTGAAGGCAGGTATGACAATGACACATTTTAAGCAATATATGTATGTTAACACAGGCTTAAAATAGATCACTCAATCATTCCCTGAGTAGAATTTCAAGTACATCTGCATATATAATTTTGTTGGCAGATATTGATTGATTAATTTTTCTATTAAAAGGAGACAGTTATTCTTTGCTTATTCTTCATTTTTTAAAGCATATTGCATTAGATTTTCTGCCAAAGTATTTTTAAGGCTGCTTGATTCCCCACTGAAAAGCAATGTAACATCTTTTAAGAGGAACAAAATACAGTTATACATCCAAATAGACTATTTAGCTGCTGTTATTGCTTGGTTCCAAATGCTTTCTTGGTTCCGAAGATTATCTTTGCTGAGCTACTGTTTAAAGAACAGAGAAATTTTGAGTGAAATTTATTTAATGTTAGGAAGCAAGCATACATTCATCACCTTGAAACTATCCATTCCAACAATATAATGTTGTTGTCCTCAGTATAAATACTGAAAAAAATAAGACAGCTATTTTAAGCATATTTCAACCATAAAGTTGTTTCTAAAACTAAACAAAGGAAAGGTAGAAAACATAAATGACTTAAAATTATAGCTTAATGCTTTAGCTTAAGAATGATAGACATCACCAAACAGAAGTTGCAAGGTAAAAAGTAATTCCAACAAAGAAACAAAAGACAAGAAAAGGATGGCAGTTGCTTTCGTCAGGAGATACCAGAGAGTGATTATGGTGCAGATTTACCCAAAATTGTGGTGCAGATTTACCCAAGTCAGTCCTTGCCAACCAGTCTATGGTCCTGAAACATCTGGAAGGTAAGTCACACAGACCTCATTGCTTACAGAGCAAAATATAAAAGTCACAATTAAAGCCAACCCCCCGCCTGCCTCTCCCCTCCCTTTTCCCCCGCTTCCCCCCCTGCGCGCACGCGCGCGCACACACACACACACACACACACACACACACACACACTTACCTTTCTGGCTAGAGGGAAGAGAGTGATAAATGCTTCTGCTAATTTGGGAATATGGTGTGTTATTATGGTGTCCAGAACCAAATGAAGGGAAAAAAATCACAGTTTTTGCTTGCTTACTTACAGTGACTCTCCACTTTACTCATACTTTAATTTCCTGCAGCCTGCCTTACTGCTTCCGCTTCACCTGTGTGAACCTCTGTGGGAAAATAGTCTAAATCCTAGTTTGTGATGTATTTGGAGTAGGAAGTGTCTTTGTTTGTTCAGTGCCTGGTATATTGGAGTGCTGCTTTCCACTTATATTCCATATATCTTACTCTAGTAGAAATAGTATTATTATAATTGCCTGTGTACTTCAGCAGTGATAAGTTTGGGGATCTTTCACATCTGCAGTACTTTGTATCAAGTCCTCATTTGTTTCTATTATTCCCCACTATTTCAGATGTTTGATTTTTGGATAGCAGGTAGTCTCTTTAAAAAAATAAAATAAAATAAAAGTATAGCTTCTGGTGAGGACTGTATTCTGAGTGTACTCTGCCTGGTTCTAACTTTGGTGTTGCAAATTTAGTTCTTTGCATTGGGTTGTAGTTCTCTTGCTTGAATTTTGCAGCTTCTCTGTGTTGGCTTGTTTATCCAGATTAAAAAGGGATTCACATGTAAATCTGTGTACTGCTATAACAACTTCGGTTTACATTACTGTTGTGAGTGTCTGTCTTTAGAGTTAACTTCTTGGCTGACTCTAACTCACATACACTCAAATCATTTTTGCTGCTTCCCCTAGCACTTTAAAGGAGTC